TGGTCTTGTCCACACACACCCTGAGAGAGACAGCCAGGATAACATTGACCAAATATCTGGTCACTCTGTGGCCCAGTCCACTCAATACATAAAATTAACCATCATAGCTCTGCCAGAATACTTTTATTTTTTCACAAAAAGAAATTGTCCCTAGATATCTCAGTGCTCTCCAGAGATGAGCCGTTCCTGCCTGCTGTTACCTGTCCAGTCTCCTCCCGCATTCCTCGTGTCTCTCTGCCCAGCTCGGTTTGATTAACCTCTGTGTCTGAAGAATCACCTGGCCTCCCTCTGCAGTCTTAGTCTTCTCTCCCTAGCTCCTAGAAGCAGAAATATTCCCAACTTGCACACGGGTGGCCAGCTCTTCCATTCCCAGCCCAGGAAAGAGTCAGCCTGAATCTCCAGGGTATGGGTAGGGTTGGTTAAGGCCCTTCCTCGATTGCTGTGGGTGCAGAGACAGCCCGGAGCAGGAGGGCACTTCTGTGTGGCCAGGAGGTGACTCAGCAGAAGGCATCCCACCTTTGGCCTTTGAACACCCGTATCCCAGCCTGGTCCTTGGCATGGCGTTAAACCAATCCCTTTTTCCTCCTGAGCCTCAGTTTACCTATCTGTAAGATGAGGGAATAGCAGTAGTTCTTTAAGTTATATCCAACATTAGGGGGAACATGTTTTTATTTAGAAGTTAGAATAACATAGGAAAAAAAGAATAATAAATACCTATATCTCTACCATCAGAATTAACCATTGTGTAACAATGTGTATATTTGTTTCCAGTCTGTTTTTTTTTTTTTTTTTAAGAAATAAAATCATACAGATAAAAGTGAATTCCCCTTAACTGCTCTCTTCCCGGTTTTCCTCCCAAGGCAGTCTCCACTTTGAGTTTGGTTCGTATTTTTCCCTTTATAAACTATCCCTCCGATAGTTTCTAGTGTGCTTTTTTATCCGGCATTGCACATTCCCTGTGAGGAAGGCAGGGTGAGTGGAGACCATCCCTGACAGATGAGGACACAGAGTTGGTGGATTTTGTGGTTCTTTTGTGCCCCTTAAAGGGACAACCACAGCTAGGGTTGGGCTCAGAATGTCTGAGAAGGAGGTCAGATAACTGAAAAGAACTCTCATGCTGGTAACAGAAAAAACAGCGTAAGCTGCCTCAACCCCCTGGTAGGCAGTGGGATGAGCTCCTGCTGCTTCAGAGGCTGGGTCCTGAGCAGAGAGAGAAGAGCCTGGGGGGCTGGGGTGGGCTGTGGCAGCCTGCTGTTGGTTAGGAAGTGCTTTCCCTTTCCCGTCCTCCCTGCTCCCCAGGGGAGGACAGAGCTGGACCCCACTGCACAGAGCTCAGCCCTCTGGGTGCCCGGGGTGCAGGGATTCAGGCCCAGGGTGCAGGTGGGGCCTCCCTAGCTGGCCCAGTGCCAGCCTCCCCAGGCAGAAGCTTTGTCTTTTCCCCAGGCTGCAGTTCCTGCTGTGCAGTCAGCCCTCAGCACTCTGCACATGTTAGAGGATGTCCCCAGGGGCCCCAGGAGTGAGGAGCACTGTCTGCCTGTGGGGCTCCGCCACCAGGAGGTGGGGCTGGGAGCTGGGCCAGCATGGGCGCCACTCGCCACATGAATGTCCCCCCATTCTTCTGTGGAAACCTCATTACCAAGGAGATGGCATTAAGAGGTAGAGCCTTTGGGAGGTGATTAGGTTGTGAGGGCAGAGCCCTCCTGGGTGGGTTTAGTGCCCTTTTATAAAAGAGGCTCCAGAAAGCTCCCTGTCCCCTTCCACCACATGAGGACAGTGGTAGGACAGCTGTGTACGAACCAGACAGTGAGCCCACATCAGACACCTGATACAGCGGTTGTTGCTGGACTTCCAGCCCCCGGAACTGTGAGCAATACATTTCTGTTGCCATATGTGCCTCCCCCACCCCTGAGTTTATGGCATTTGGTTATAGCAGGCCAGAGGGACCAAGATGTGTGACTGTGAGCACTTAAAATGCAGCCAATGCCACATGTCTAAATCATATTTGGGATGTGTTGGGGTAAATAAGATGTATTATTAAATATTAAAATAACTTGTAACTTTAAGAAAATATGGCTGTTTAATAAGGATTTTTGAAAAATAGGGATGAATAAACAGAACACAGGATTTTTGGGGCAGTGTAACTATTCTGAGTGATACTGTCATGGTGTGTACACGATGTTATGTGTCCAGACCCGTGGGGTGTGCAGGGCTGTTGTGGTCCCTCACGTGAGCTGTGGGCCTTGACTGTGTAGGCTCCTCCACTGCCCATCCCCCGGATGGACACTCTGCATTCGTGGGGCAGGGGGCTCAGGAGAACTCTATATTTGCTGCTCAGTTAAACTGCTTTAATAAACAAGGTCTATTAAAAAGTTAATTTCACCACTTTTTTGTATGGCAGTTAGAAAATGAAAATGTGGTTTGAGCTATGTTTGTACAGGGATATCTTAGGTCTGTATCCATCCTTAAATAGCCCTGCAACATGGTATGCACAAAATAAATGGCGTGGTGTTTGCAGCCAGGTTCTGAAGGCTGCTGGGGCATCTCAGCAGTGGCCCAGGGAAGGGCTGGGGGTCAGGGGAGGATGTTTGGTTTCTCCAGCTTGTAGAGGGAGAGCTCTCTGCTGTATTTATTGGCATTCTGTCGGAGGTTAAACTCGGATGCCTGGCTCCCAGGGCCACTGAATGGCATATGTATACCACACTGATTCTCAAAGGTGGGAGTGGGAAATGATAAATGTTTTTCAAAAAATAGACTTTATATTTTTTAGAGCAGTTTCGGGTTCTCAGCAAAATTGGATGGAAAGTACAGAGAGTCCCATAGACTCCTGCCCGCCAACACACATGGCCTCCCCGACCTCAGTATCCCGACCAGACAGGCACACCTGTTCCCACCAGTGAACCTGCATTGACACATCATTGTCAGAGAGTCTAGAGGGTTCCCTCTTGGTGTCACACATTCTGTGGATTTGGGAAAATGTGCAATGACACGTATCCACCGTTACGGTATCACACTGAATGGTGTCACTACGATAAACATCCTCTGTGCTCACACTAAGGGAGTAACACTGGTACATGGTTGTTTCTAAACTGTAGACTATATTGGTTTTGCCAGTTTTTCCACTAAAGTCTGCTCCCAGATTCAATCTAAGATCCCCTGTTGCATTTATATGTCATGTCTTCCTGGCCTCCTTTGGTTTGTGTAAATTGTTTAAGTTCTCTCGTTTCCGCAGGCAGGTAGAGGTGTGTGTGTGCGCGTGCGCACTTGTGCATGGGGAGGAAGTTTAACGCCCCTTGAGAGGTATCTTAGGGCTCCAAAGCTGTTTGCAGTGAAACGGAATCTGTTTCTAGCTGGGTTCCTTCTCTCACTTCTCGTCTGTGCACACACACACCTACTATGTCCTCTTCCTCCCTGGGCCTCTGAAATGCTCTTTCCTCAGAAGAAATCGATGAGGGCGATGCGTCCTCGGGCCTGCGCTTTCCTTCCCTAACTGATGGAGGAGGTTTATTTTCTGGGTATGGCAGCCCAGCTCGTGCAGGCGGTGTTGAGCCATCAGTGGGCCCAGGTGTGTGGGGAGTTGCCTCCGTGCCTGCCTGGCTGGGGAGGGACACTTGGGGAAGCAGGGGACTTAAAGATGTGTGTGTGGGTGTGTCTCCCACCTCTGCTTTCTTTTCTTGAGACAGAGTCTCACTGTGTTGCCTGGGCTAGAGTGCCGTGGCGTCAGCCTAGCTCACAGCAACCTCAAACTCCTGGGCTCAAGCAATCCTTCTGCCTCAGCCTCCCGAGTAGCTGGGACTACAGGCATGCACCACCATGCCTGGCTAATTTTTTCTGTATATTTTTAGTTGTCCAACTAATTTCTTTCTATTTTTAGTAGAGATGGGGTCTCGCTCTTGCTTAGGCTGGTTTTGAACTCCTGACCTTGAGTGACCCTTCTGCCTCGGCCTCCAGAGTGCTAGATTTACAGGCATGAGCCACTGCCCCTGGCCTCCCACGTCTACTTTCTAATGCCAGCAGTTTTTTACAAGTCTCCTGAATCCCCAGAATGTTGATGTTCCTGTGACTTTAAGTAAAGGTTGGGAAGGACAGGGAGAGCCCAGATGCCCAGAGCACAGACGCCGTGTGGGACGCTGTGCTGCGTGTGACCCCAAGGGACGAGCTTGCCGGATGCTCTGCTCTGTGGACCCCTCCCTGGGGCCTTGGCCACGCGGAAAGCCCAGAGGGCAGTAGGCCCACTGCTTCCCGATGCAGGGCCTTTGCCTGCTACTTCCCCGAGCACCTGTCTGCAGGCTGCGGCCACAGCACGTACGCACTAGGCAGGCTTGGCGCGGGGTCTGCCGTTCTCTGCCACTCATCCCATCTCGCCCCAGCTGGGGCTGTTGCCACCCTGGGTCATGGATGAGAAACCCAGGGGCTGACACTGGATAGCTCCCGTCACACCATGGCTTCCTCCTCATATCGTCCCCATGGGAAATGGTCCCACAGACTGTCCTGATCCACACGTGGATGTGTTTGCTGCCTGTCTCCCACCTCCACCATCATGCCAGCTCCACGTGCCCTGGCACTTTGCGACTGTCGGGCCACAGTTAGTAGTGCCAGGGTTGGAGGAGCCCCTCTGGGGACAGAAGCTGACATCCAGGAGGGAGCCTGCTATGTACCAGGCCTGGGCTCTGGCCCAGGTCTGGTCAGCTGAGAGACCCCCTCGCCCCAGCCGCCACCTCAGCAGACCCCATGAGCAGTCCTCTTTGTGACATGGAACAACTTTTGTGTATGTAGAATCGTCCTGCCCGGTGGCATGTGTTGATCCTCAAAGCTGTTTCCTGGGGCGGCGCCTCCAGCTTGGTTGCTTGTGCGGGCTACGTGTAGAGGCCCCGGCCTCAGGTTGTGGAGCGGGACCCACTTCCCCTCTGGGCTTGGCGCTGCCGTGAGACCACCCACCTCTGCTCTCTGAGTCAGGCCCGTGCCCCAGGCAGAGAGTGAGCACCCGTCTTGTCTCTCTGCAGGTCATCCACCCGGCCCGAGGTGGCCAGCATCGAGCCGCTGGGCCCGGCCGAGCAGCAGTGCTCCCAGCAGGCGGTGGTGCAGGCCCGCCTCACCCAGCCCGCCCGCCTGACCAGCATCATCTTCGCCGAGGACATCAGTAAGTGCTCGGGCTGCTGCGTGTGCTCGTGGTGGGGACGGCGGACAGGGAAATGCCCCGCTGAGGCTGCCAGCCCCAGAGCTGCCGGAGCCCACGGCAGGGCTTTCTCTGGCTGGGTGGAGGACGCCTGGGTGGGGGCTGATGCCCAGCAGGCGGCTGCCGTCCTGGCCCACGTGCCAGCACTGCGTGCTGTTGGCGCTTGTGGAGGCTGGCTTTCTGCATTGCCACATCATCACTGGTTACCTGCCCCTAATGGGTATCAATCAACCGATCATAACGACAGTTGACTCAGTCCACAGAATCACCCCTTTTCCTTCCCCTTGTCTAATTTTGCATGTTATGGCTGTAAAATGCTTGGACAACCGTGTGATTTTCTAGCATGCTTTTTCACCACCCATGCTAGGACATTTTCCCTTTTACTGTAGAATTATTTTTAAGGCCAAATAACATTTTTAACAGGAGGTTGCCCTATAAGCATTCCCTTATATTGGGCATTGAGAGTGTTTTCAGATGTTTGTTTCAGTGTTATATATAAAAATAAATGTTTTTATATAGAGAAAGTAGGGGTTTTTTGAGTGTCTTTCTTAGGATAGATTCCTAAGAATCTATCCTAAGGTAGATTTTTACTGGGTCACAGCATAGGGATTTTTTTAAGGCTTTGGATACACAGAGCCCGTATTGCTTCCCACAAAGCAGCATCACACACAGCACTTTTATGTGGCGCCTGGAGAATGAGCAGAGTAATTTTTATCACGTGCTGCTACCCTTACACTTGAGTAGTCCCCAGGTGATGCCATTCATGTATCTGGCTTCTAGAGCAAGTAAAAAAAAATCTGTGCACATGTCCACACAGCCCTTCTATGGTGTAGTCGATAGTCTCGTGTAAGAAACAGTGGCACGAGTAAAACAGAAACAAAAACACCAGTGCAATTCCCAGTCTCAGTGTAGGGACAGGGCTTCAGGACAGAACCGTCTTCTTTTGGATGCTAACTTGTACCGTAGCCCTTGTCATCTCACTTAGTGGCTACACCCTGAACAAAACTACATTTTCCTGGGGTTCATTTTCTGCACACAGCTTTAAGTGCTGGTGCTCCAGTTGGAAGAGCAGGAGGTGGGCTCTGAAATGTCTGTGAAGCCCTCACTTTCTGAAAGTCAGTGTTACCTGTCAGCACGGGCCATGTGCCAGGCTGCTGCTTGCCTTCCGAGGGTGAATTTGGTGTTTGCTGGAGTCTCTGCCCCAGGATCCCTGGTGGGCGGGGCGGTGGCCGGGGCACTGTCCTCAGTACTGACTCGTCCCTGTTCCTCCCTCCAGCCTCGGGCCAGGTGCTGCGCTGCGATGCCATTGTCGACCTCATCCATGGCATTCAGATCGTCTCCACCACCCGTGAGCTCTACCTGGAAGACTCACCCTTGGAGCTGAAGATCCAGGCTCTAGACTCTGAAGGTGAGGACATCCCCCTGCCTGTTTGTCCCCTGCGCCTGCTTCTAGGCTCTCACCTCACCATGACCAGGGCCTCTCTCCATTCCTGTCTCCTCTTGCATCCAGCCCTGCTGTTCCCACGTAGGGCTGTCAGGAGGGTGAACTTGGTGCTGGGGATGTCAGAGAGGCAGAACCCATCTCCAAGGGGGACCCCATGCCCCTGGTGGCATTGAGCCCTGGCCAATTGTCATGCTCAGAGCTACAGCAGATGTGGTGGCAGACTCTGCCTGTGCATGGTGTGGGTTCTTGGTAAAGCCTGTCTTCTGGCAGCCAGCTTGGGAAGCTGGGAGAGGCCGGCTGGGGGGCTGCTCCCTGTTTGGGGGCTCGGGACTGGTTTTGGCTTCCTTGTCCAGACTCGGGGTGTGTGCGTGGACGGGGACAGGTACGTCTGTGCTGCAGGCGCAGTGTGCTATCCTCACATCGTCAGAGTTGAATGATCAGAGTCGAATAGTAGCTTGTTCTGGGCTGGGATTCTTCTTGATGATCTCTTTATGAAGTAAGGGAAATTTTGTAGGTTAAGATCTTGTTGAAGAAAGTAACAGGCAAAAGATGTCTTTCCCATGATGATCTTCCCAAACTCCAACTCCAAACCAAGTCTCACTTTGTCTTTGAGACCTTTTTGATTATTGTAGCTGCCTTCCTTTCTTTTTAAAAATATTTTCTAGATCAGGGTCTCTTAGCCTAGATAGTATTGACTGACATTTGGGGCTGGACAAATCTTTGTGGTAGGGGCTGTCCAGTCCATTATAGGATGTTTAGCAGCATCCCTGACCTATACCTCTCAGATGATAGCAGTCACAGGGGCAAGCCATGGCAATCAAAAATGTCCCCAGATGTGGCCACATGTCCCAGGAGGGGGGGCAAGCAACTCTTTTTGGGCATCTGTGAGACTCTTCTTTTTTTTCGCCACTGATTTGTTCATCAGATGAGCTCCCTGAGCTCTGACACTGCTTTCTGTTCTGTGATTTTGAGAGGGTGATGCTTGCCCTGAGACCTGCAGGGATTTGGTGAGAAATATGTAAAGTGCTCAGCATTGTGTGGGTGCTCAGTAAACAAGAGGGTGTTTTTCTGGGCACATTTTTTTTTTTATTTGAGACAAGAGTTGCACTCTGTTGCCTTGGCTAGAGTGCCGTGGTGTCAGCCTAGCTCACAGCAACCTCCAACTCCTGGGCTCAAGCGATCCTGCTGCCTCAGCCTCCCGAGTAGCTGGGACTACAGGCACATGCCACCATGCCTGGCTAATTTTTTCTGTATGTATTTTTAGTTGTCCAGGTAATTTCTTTCTATTTTTTTTTTTTTTTTTAATAGAGACGGGGTCTTGCTCAGACTGGTCTCGAACTCCTGAGCTCAAACGATCCACCTGCCTCGGAGTGCTAGGATTACAGGCGTGAGCCACCACTCCCGGCCTTTCTGGGCACTTTCTATGGGCATTGTCCAGGCACCAGGGCTGCTACAGGGGGCGGGGGGGGGTGACGGCTGCTTCCAGGATCTCAGACTGTGGGGAGGCTCTCATGTAAGCAGACGGTCATCTGGGTGGGAGCTGCCAGTGACCCAGAGCTGGGGGCGTAGAGCTGGCGGGAGCCAGCCCCGAGGAGGCTGGAGGTAGGGCGTGGAGGACAGAGGTCAGGAGACATTTCTCAGAAGAGGTGACGTTCCGCTGAGGCTTGAGGAATGTGGAGTTTGCCAGGCGGGATGTTCTGTCCTTGAGGAGACTGCAGCATGGAGAGGGCGTGGGCACGGGGCACGCAGGTATAAAGGCTCCTGTGTGGGGCTTGCCCTTGTCTCAGAGCAGAGCGCAGTGGAAGAAGGGGTTTGTGCAGGGAGGTGATGGGAGCTCGTTTGCAGGACTTTGGGGTGATCACTAGCTGCTCTTGGGAACAAAAGACCAACGTTTGAGTGCACGCTGTTGCCAGGCACTCCTGAGCACGCTGTATGCTGTAACTCATTTCACATTGTGGTGACTGGGCGACTTAGGGCAGGGGTGGACACACCCACACACTGATACGTGCATGCTCACACAGACACAGACACACCCCACACACAGACACACAGAAAAGATGTGTAGCTAATACACAGCACAGCCAGACTCTGAGCTCCAGCCTGGCCCTAGAGTTTACCCTTCTGGCCAAGGGTTGGCAAACTTCTGGGAAGGGTTGGACAGTAAATATTTTAGGCTTTGCTGGTCATGTGGTTTCTATCACAACTATTCAGCTCTGTCACTGTTACACTAAAGCAGCCATAGGTGATATGTAAATGAGTGGGTGTGGCCATGTTCTAATAAAACTTTATTGATAAAAACAGGCAGTAGGCCACATTTGGCCCAGAGGCTGTAGTTTGCCAACTTCTGCTCTTGACTACTTTGTTCTATTTCCTGCCTTCAGTCACTTTAAAAAAGAAGGTGATGTTTATTTTTATTAAGATTTATATAACATGAAATTCACCTATTTAAAAGTATATTAATTCCTATATCTATGACTTTTATAAAAAAAAATAAAATAAAAGTATATTATTTAGTGTGCAACCATCACCACTACCTAATTTTAGTAGTAATGTTTCACAATGCCTGTTTCACAGAAAGAAACCCCATACCCATTAGTGTTTGCTCCCCATTCTCTCCTTTCTCCAACTCCTGACAACTACCAGTCTGCTTTCTGTCTCTTTGCATCTGCCTGTTCTGGACACTTTATATAAACAGAAGTGTACAATTCACATTGCTGTACATGGGTATTAGGTTGGTGTAGAAGTAATTGCAGTTTTGGGCCATGAATTTTAAATCATTTTAAGTAGGCTCAAACACATCTTAAATAATCAAAATAGGAACCATTACAATCAACACATTTATGCCAACGAATAATAGGTTTGTTTATTCCTGTAGCATAAAAATCTGTGCTTTGGGATTCCATGAACTCTTGAAAAGCATTTTCTGCATCCTGCTGGTTGTGGAAGTGTTTTCCCTGCACAAAGATACTTGATGAAGTGGTAGTTGATTGGGGAGAGGTCAGACAAATATGGCGGATGAGGCAAAACTTTGTAGCCCAATTCATTCAACTTTTGAAGTATTGGTTATGCAACCTGAGATCGGGCGTTGTCGTGGAGAAGAATTGGGCCCTTTCTGGTGACCAGCTACAGGCGTTACAATTTTCGGTGCACCTCATGGATTTGCTGAGCACACTTCTCAGATGAAATGGCTTTGCTGGGATTCAGAAAGCTGTAGTGGATCAGGCCTGCAGCAGACCACCAAACAGTGTCCATGACCTTTCTTTGGTGCAAGTTTGGCTTTGGGAGGTGCTTTGGATCTTCTTCTTGGTCCAGCCACTGAGCTGGGCATCTCCTGTTGTCGTATAAAATCCAGTTTCAGTTGCACATCATAATCCGAGAAACGGTTCATCGCTGTTGCATACGAGAAGGCGACACTTCTAAAGGACAATGTTTTTGATTTTTGGTCAGCTCATGAGGCACCCACTTACCAAGGTTTTTTACCTTTCCGACTTGCTTCAAATGCTGAATGGCCATAGAGTGGTCAACCTTGAGTTCCTCAGTAACTTCTTGTGTGGTTGTAAAAGGATCAGCTTCTTCAACGATTGCTCTCAAATGGTGCTTGTCAACTTCCAGTGGCCGCCACTGCGCTCCTCGTCTTCAAGGTCCTCGTCTCCTTTGCAGAAATTCTTGAACCACTGCTGCCCTGTACGTTGTTAGCAGTTCCTGGGCCAAAAGTGTTGTTGATACAAGTTGTCTCTGCTGCTTTACTACTCATTTTGAACTTGGATAAGAAAATCGCTTGAATTTGCTTTTTGTCTAACAACATTCTATAGTCTAAAATAGATATAAAATAAACAGTAAGTACTAAGTCATTAACAAAAAATATGCATTAAAATGATGTATAACATAACCACATTTAAGAATGTATTCCAATATCAAATGGCAAATTTCAAGAATGCTAAAACCGCAGTTACTTTTGCACCAAACTGATACGTACAGTCCTGTGACTGTCTTCTTACACTGAGCACAGTGTCTTCAGAGTTTGTCCACATTGTAGCATGGATAAGTACTTCATTCCTTTTTAATTTCCAAACAATATTCCATTGTTGGAATACGCCACTTTGTTTATCCATTCATCAGTTGATCGAGGTTTTGGTTGTTTTTGCTTTCTGGCTATTATGAATAATGCTGCTGTGAACATCTGTGTACAAGTTTTTGTGTGGGCATATGTTTTCATTTCTTTTGGGTAGTCACCCAGCAGTATAATTGCTGGATTGTATGATAACACTATGATTATCTATTTGAGGAACTGCCAGACTGTTTCCACAGTGGCCGGACCATTTCACGTTCCCACCGGCAGTGTATGAAAGTGTCAGTATCTCCAAGTCCTTGCCAGCACTAGTTATTGTCCGTCTTCGTGATTATAGTTTAATCTTTTTTTTTCTTTTGACAAGACAGAGTCTCACTCTGTCACTGAGGCTAGAGTACAGTGGTGTGATCATAGCTTGCTGTAACCTTGAACTCCTGAGCTCAAGTGGTCCTCCTGCCTCAGCCTCCCAAAGTGCTGGAATTACAGGTGTGAACCACTGTGCCTGGCCAGTTAAGTCATTTTAAAGTCACTTTTTTTCCTGAGCGTGTGTCATTCTCTCTCAGGCAGCAGGTGATGTCAGGAGTGGGAAGGTGCCGCCTTCTGGCCTCCTGGACCCACTGGTATGCTACAACAGATGCCCAGCAGTCCTTGAAGGCTACCACTCTCACCTCCTCCTCTGCTAAAGTTTTGATGACACATGGAGCCAGTACCAGAGTAGGAAGTCATCTGGTCTGCAAAGACTGTCATTCACCAATAGCCCATATCAAGGCTTCACCTTTGCATTAAAGGCATGGTTACCACTTCCTCATTACCTGCTATAAGAGTGTAATGCATTTTAGTCAGCCTTCCCTTCCCCAAAATACCTTGGGAATTGCCTTTATCATCCCTTTTGCCTTTTTTCCTGAGCCTGCGACCTCTTTTCTGGCCAGAGTCTCCTTTGTGAAGACAAACTTGACCCTCGTAACTTTGAGGACCTTGCGGTCTCAGAAGGGATGTACCTGATCTGGATTGGTAAACGTTTGGCAAAAAAGACTCCGAGGTTCAACAAACATGGTTAGGTGGGTGCCCGTGAGTGCCAGGCACTGTGCTAGCCCCTTAGTGGGTACAGTCTCCTATTATACTTATAAATGGTATAATGCCTGTTGTATAGACAAGGAAGCTGAATCCCAGAGAGTTTAAGTAACTTGCCCATGGTCACCTAGCTCATGGGTGACTGAGCAGGGGCTGGGACTCGGGATGAGTGGCCCTGTTGCCTGAGCTATTCTGTGCTCGGCTGTACTACCTGTCTCCTGCTGCTTATTTTCCTGGGCATCTGGGCCTTCTGCACATAGCTAGGATCTGCCCTTTTCATCAGAAGCTGTTTGTGGTCGATTTTCAGTTATTTCCTGGCCTGTATGTACCTCATGCATCAGCAGAACTGGATTAGCTCAGGGTCTCCGAAGATATCCCTTCGTCGCCTTTCTTTATGCCACGTGTGCTGCCCGAAGTACTTTCTCTTCCTGAACTTGCTTTCCGAAGCCAGTGTTCCTCCGGACATCCCCTTGGGTGTCCCTCCAGGCAGCCCTCCCTGGCTCCCCAATGTGGGACTTGTTCCTCCCTTCTGACATCCCTGAACTCTTCGCCAGCTCCTGCCTTGGGGTACGGGGCATTTTCTACTGTGTCGTGTCACGTTCAGCACTTGGAGGACAGAATTGGGATCACTACATTCTTCCTAGCTCTTCCGTGTCTGACGCTGGACTTTGGGCCCAGCATGCATCTGGTAAATGATTGTTAAATTGAATTGCTCAATGTTTCCCTGTGACCCTCCTGGGACCAGGACTGTTGTCCTGTTGGGATGGTCTCTGGGGACTGGACCCCTGGCTTGCCTGGTTAATATCAGCAGTTGGCTGTGAGGGGAGGCTTCAAGGTCAAGGAAGGGCTCAGTCTGTTGCATGCAATAGGTACTAACAGCTTGTTTGTGAATGGAAAAAGCAAAACTTCAGTCAGAAGTTTAGTCATTTTGCCTTCTTCCTCCCCTTAGAGGTTGCCGCTCTGCAGCAGGCCGTGGAGGGCAAATGCCCGATGGACTTCACCAGAGCCCAGCCCCGCTGGGACTTGGTGCTGGTCCACCAGCTGGTGGGCCCGTGTGTGCCCTGAGTTGCAGGAGGCTTCTGAGCGCCTCTCAGGGTCTGCACTCAGCCTGGAGTATCCCCACACTCCTAGGGAGCACTTCCTCGGGCTCCGTGCCTACGGGTTTACCTTCTGGCACTTTCCCCTGCCTTTTGAACAAGGGGCCCTGCATTCTCATCTGTGTGGAACACTGCCAGTTATACAGTCAGTCCATTTGCCCAGGTTGATGTGGAAGTTGTGAATATCTGCTCTTGGAACCGCCATTCAGCTCTTCATTTGCACGTGGTGGCCGTGCAGGAGATACTGGGGGGAGTGCAGATAATGGGAAGCAGAGCTCCACGTGCAGCCACTGAGATGTCCGAAGGTATGATTTCCTGTCTCTGCTTTCCTTGGTAAGGGACCCCTTGACAGGGCCTCCCCACCTCCATCTCCTTGCCCATGAGTGGGCCGTAGTGAAGAGTCCCACATAGGTCACAGGGGTGCTTTCTCGACTTGATCTTACCAATGGTCCCATCGGTTGGGTATTTTCGTTTCCACCTTACAGAAGAGAAAAGTGGTGCTTGGAGCTGACCTTGTGGAAACCCCAGGGTAGGTGTTTAGGACGCTCTTGCGGTGTTTGGATGGATGTGTGTTAAGGGAGTGAACTGCCCCATGGGCTTCTGTATTGAATTTCCGGTCACTTTCACAAGCTAATATGAACACAGGGAAATCGCCCTTTTCCTCACTGCAGAGTCAGCTTGGCTCAGCCCCTGAGCAGGCAGGAATTGGGGCCAGCTTTGTTTTATATGTAACCCCTTTCAGCTCAGCATGAGGCAGAAGGTTCTTGTGACCAGAGCTGCTAAATGTTAAAGAGAGGGATGGGCTGTCCTGGGAAGGGTGACATCCTTATGCCTGGGATATGACAGGAGGGTCTCAGCCCCTTTCCGAAGTGGATGCAGCATCCAAGAGTTGGGCTAGAGGACTTCTAAGTTTCTTGCAGCCAATATGCTTCGCTGGTGTAAATTTTGGTATCCACCTTCCTCATCTAATGCCCTGGGTATTAGGAAGATAAATTACTTTGTTCAAAATGCTTTGAGGTTTGAGAAACTAGACTTTTTTTTTTGAGACAGAGTCTCACTTTGTTGCCCAGACTAGAGTGAGTGCCGTGGCGTCAGCCTGGCTCACAGCAACCTCAATCTCCTGGGCTCAGCGATCCTACTGCCTCAGCCTCCCGAGTAGCTGGGACTACAGGCATGCGCCACCATGCCCGGCTAATTTTTTGTATATATATTTTTAGTTGGTCAATTAATTTCTTTCTATTTTTTAGTAGTGGTAGAGACGGGGTCTCGCTCAGGCTGGTTTCGAACTCCTGACCTTGAGCAATCCGCCCGCCTCGGCCTCCCAAAGTGCTAGGATTACAGGCGTGAGCCACCACTCCCGGCCAAAACTAGACTTTTTGTTTGCTCAGAATCCTCCCTTGGACCTCTAAGAGAAAAACCTCCCTACACCTGTATCCATTGTAGATGGGGTTTGTCTTTTCTCTGATCAGTTACTCACAGCACCCTTCATCAAAGATGCCCTGAGGAGTGAGGGCAAAGAGGGCAGAGTTTTCTGGAGCTTTGCTGAGCACTGTTCCAATGGCCTTTGAGATCTTGTGGGGCTGTGGGTGGGAGTGAAGAGGGGCGTGATCCCAGGCCTATCTGACTCTAAATACTTTGCCCTTTGCCCTGCAGAAAAAGATTTTCTGGACCCTCCAATGTTCTATTTGGGGAGCTGACCAGGCAGGGAATGGGGAGGAAGGATGTGGAACCGGGTGTGGGATAACAGGGTATGGTGAGGAGTGTGGCAAGTAAGAGAAAACAGCCCCTTCTAGAGATTCCAAGCCAGTCTCTGAGCATCAGGTGGCTAGATCTTCAGACTTTTCAAGAGAATCTGGTGATTGTATGTGGCATTTCTTAGTTTGAAATGATGGGTCAAAAGGCTCACAGATCAAATGGTAGTTCTACTTGCATCTCTTTGAGGTATCTCTGTACTGCTTTCCACAGAGGTTGTACTAGTTTGCAGTCCCACCAGCAGTGTGTGAGTGAGTGCTCCTTTCTCTCCGCATCCACACCAACCTTTATTGTTTGGGACTTTTTGATAAAGGCCATTCTCACTGGAGATAAGTGATATCTCATTGTGGTTTTGATTTGCATTTTTCTGATGATTAGAGATATTGAGCCTTTTTTCTTATGTGTCTTGGCTATTAGTCTATATTCTTTTGAAAAGTTTCTGTTCATGTCCTTTGCTCACTTTTTGATAGGGTTGTGTTTTTTCTTGCTGCTTTTCTTGAGTTCTATATAGATTCTAGTTATCAGCCCTTTATCGGATGTGTAACATGGGAATATTTTCTCCCATTCTGTAGGTGTCTGTTTGCTCTTGTGACAGTTTCCTTGGCTGTGCAGACGGGGGGGGGGGGGTATGTTCACACCTAATGGGTGTGGGGGATGGGCTTGCTTGAAGCTCTGACTTGGGTGAGCCAAAGGCAATATGTATAATCTAAACATTTGTATAATATGCTGGGGAAAAAAAGGTGCACAGACAGCAAAACTGGACTTCAGAGCTAAGGGGGCTGGGCCCGGTTCTCTCTTCCTCGACCCCAGGACCCCAGGAGTCCCACACTCAAGGAGAAAAGACAAGAATAGTTATATGAAACCCAACTGTTGAGGAACTGCCCTGCACCCCTTGGTTTCCTCCCTGCAACAGGGAGGGAAGGGGGAGTTTACTCCCCAGGAGGTGGTGTGGAGGAAGAACTCAGGTTTGGAGCATCCTCCTAAACTGTGAAGTGCTTACAGACATGAAGGGGGTGGTATTAGACGCTACACCAAGCCTGCCATGCGCTGTCAAAGGCAGGGAGTCACAGTGGGAAGAACACAAGCCTTCACCTGAGACGGGCCTGGGTTCAAATCCTGGCCTAGCCTCTGAGGGTCACTTGACCACAAGTAAGCATCTTCATTCCTTTCAGCTTCAGTTTACCCTTCCTGAAATGGGGGTCATGGCACCTGCTTTGTAGGATTGAGTGTGGTTCCTATATGGGAGAGAGGCTCCTAGCTCTCCTTCCCTTGGCCCTGGGAAATTAACAGTGATGCATTTCTGCTGCCCCGTCTGCTCCTGTAGGGAACACCTTCAGCACCCTGGCTGGACTGGTCTTTGACTGGACAATTGTGAAGGACACAGAGGCAGACAGGTTCTCAGACTCCCACAATGCACTGCGGTAAGGGGCGCCTCCACCGGGCTAACGGGAAGGGAAGTGGGATGGGGGACATCCAGGGGCTCCTCACTGCCTGGGGGCCTCCCTCATTGTCAGCAAGGAGTCCTGGGCGATTCCCAGGTGCCTGCTGACGTCTGGCAGTACCAGTGCCTGATTTGGGGCAGGGTTTGTTCACAGTTGGGCAGGAACCTGGCTGCTCTGTGGCCCACTGGGGTGTGTGGTGTGGGAAGTTGTCAAAGAGGCTTGCGACACCCAGTTGCAGAAATTAGACAACACAGGTGACAGCAGGCAGTTTTGGGCCCTGGGGAAGCGTGAGTGGCACCAGAGGGCAGAACTACCATTGGGCCCAAGTTAGAGGGGAGACAGGTTTTGGCTGAGAGGACCAGGCCAGTGGTGACAGCTGTTCTCAGGTGGAGCAGGCTGGCGTCCCCAGCACGGCGGTGCAGACAGGCCTGTCACGAGGTGGCCAAGTGTCTTAACCCATGTCATCCTTCCAGCAGCCACAGAGGCTATATGTACCACTGTTCCTTCATTTTTCAGTGATAGAAACTGCCCCTGGGAAAGGTTGTGCTGTCTGGGATGGGGGAGGGGCAGAGCTGGAATCTGAACTCAGGTCTGCCTCGCTGTGAACCCCATCTGGCTATGCAGACGTATGTTAGATAAAATGAACAGTTCAGGTCCGGAGCCACACTTGAAGTGCTCGACAGCTGTGTAGTAAGGGGCTGCTGCCTGCTGGACGGAGCAGAAGCACAGCCACTGACCATGTGTTCCATCCTCGTGGGACGCTCCCTGGCGGCACTGGTGCAGGCCAGGGTCTGAGCGTTCATTCTTGACTGCACTGCATTGCCCCGTGCTTTGCTAAATAATTTTTTAAAGAGTATGGTCCCTTCTTGGGGAAGAAGACTTGATTTTTTAAACTTTTGCAACAATTTTAAGCTTACAGAAAATTCACCAGTTCAGTACGAAAATTGGATCATCCTCAGTCACCTGAGGGCAGCTGCTAGCCTGGTGCCCGTCCTCCTTGATTATCACACGTGCATTGCCATGAGGGTGTTTTCCCGCGTAGCCACAGCAGAGTCGTCCAGACTAGGAAATTAACACCAGGACAGACAGTCTTTTGACCACATTGAGTTTTGCCAATTGTCCAAATTTTGTCCTTTTTAGCAAAAAAAAAAAAAAGCCCCAAACCAAAAAAAACCAGCACAGAGTCACATGCTGCATGTTGTCCTGTTTCTTTCAGTCTCTGTCAGCCTGGGACAGTCTCTTAGTCTTTCTCTGACTTTCAACACCTTGATGCTTGTGAAGAGGACGGTCTGGTTGTTTTATAGAATGTCCCTTGTTTGGGTTTATCTGATGTTCCCTCATGACAGGCTCTGAGCTTTATACCTTTGGCAGGAACATCACTGAAGTGAGATTCTGTGTTGTTCTAATTGCTTCTGATTACAATTCCACTTGGCCTGTTAGTGATGATGGTCACTGCAGTCATGTGGGTGAGGTAGTGTCTGCTGGGTTCCCCTGGTGAAATCGCCTTCTTGCCCCTTTGTAATTCATAAGCACTTGGTGGGAGAATTAATAGTCTGGTCTTTCATATATACCTCCAGGAGCCCAGCTCTGGGCTGTAGTGGTGTTGGGAACGCTGGTGCCCCCTTCACGAACTCTGGGCTTGGCTTGTGGCTGTCACCAGGCAGACATCCTCCTATCCTAATGATTTTGCCAGCTGAGTCACCCTAGGGAGTCAGAGCTCTGTGGGGGTTGGGACTTATCCTCTGTCTCCAGCTTTGGAGTTTGTGGTGTTTCTTAAAGCTGGGAGCACTGGCTGTAGCGTCAGAGAGACCTGGATTCCAATCCTGGTCCTGTCCCTTCCTGCCTGTGGCCTTAGGCAGGGAGCGTAATCTGCCTGAGCCTCAGCTTCCTCTCTGTAAAACAGAACCAGAGGCGATTACTGTGCCCCCCTTTGAGGGACGGCGTGCGGGTGCTCAGGCCAGGTGCACACTAGATGTCTGGGGGATGCCAGTTCCCTGCCCCTTCTGGGCCACCAGGCCCCCCACTGAGCTTCCAGGTAGCTCAATACCTGGGCTGAATGTAAACCGAAATCCAAGATGCTAAGGTGTGTTGGAACTGGATTGTCCTGGATTTTCATTCAGTTCAGCACATGACACCTCGTAAAACTGGGGGAGGAAATAAATCATGGCGTGGCACAGCACCCAGCAGATCGTGGGGAGAATGGAAGTGTGTCCAGCAGATTGCTCTTGTTCAGGCGGAACGGCGGGCTCGTATGTCAGTGGCAGGCTGAAGGGAGAGGCTGTGTGGAAAGGATTCCTTAGCCAACCCTGCTCACCAGCCCACGCTCCAGGGCAGGCCTGCCATGTGCCTGCCTTCTCCCTGTCCTGGAGCTCTCTCCACAGCCCCATGTGGGGAGGGTGAGATGTAATGTGTCCACATCCCTGAGGCTTGAGGGGAGGCCACTGGAGATCCTTCCCCGGAGTCAGGTGCTGGGGCAGGCTGAGACCAAGGCTGTGGCTGGCACTGCTTTGGTTGGGCCATGTTCTTGGGCCTGCCGCTCAATTTCCGTGGGCCTCACTTTTCCTGTTTGGGCTAAGCCAGTGTCCTCAGATTTCAGTGTTTATCGTCACATGTGGATTTTGATATAATGCAGATTCCCAGGCTTCTTGCAGACAAAGGCTGGGCCAAGGGCCAAGAATCTGCATTTTCCACAAGGACGTTGGCATTTCTGATGTAGGAAGTTGCAGAGACATGTCTCTAAGCAGCCCTGACTCGGGGGACACCCCTTATTTCAGTGTCAGGCACCTAGTAGTGGGAGGTCCTGACAGCGAGTGTTGTGGTACATTCTGATGAACCTTGTGTTCAGGTTTGACCACTGGACTTTGACGGTGCGCTTCTTTTCTAGAATCCTCACTTTCCTGGAGTCTACGTACATACCTCCCTCTTACATCTCTGAGATGGAGAAGGCAGCCAAGCAGGGCGACACCATCCTGGTGTCTGGGATGAAGACGGGTAGCTCCAAGCTCAAGGCTCGCATCCAGGAGGCTGTCTACAAGGTAGGCCCTGGGGGAAAGGGAGTTGACTTCCTGCTCATGCTCCTGGACACGCTAGATAGTGGGAGTGAGGTGCTCCACTGTTTCTTTCGGGCAGGAGTCTCTATTTTTGTTGGTTTGATGCACGGCTTAGGAAAAGGCGCACCATCTCTGGAATCACAAAGCGTTTGCATGTTCTCAGTTTCAAGGGAGGCCCAGGAGCAGGAGTGTTTCCAGTAATGAGCTTGTGTTAAACAGCTGCCTCTCTGTCCTGGTAGAGGACACACCCAAGCACTTGGGACTCTGACAAAAGCTGGGGGCTCCCGCTGTCTTCTGTGCCAGCTCTCCCACTGCCCCACTTGGAGCCTGGAGACTGGTTGCCCAGTGGCCCCACCTGGCCAGGGCTAGGTCTCCTCACTACCACCCCCACACCAGCCCACTGACCCTGTCAAGCCTCACTAGTACCTGTTTCCCCATCAATGTCCCATTTTCCGAGGGACGGGACAGAGGAGAGGAGAGTGAGGAATGGGTTAGCCGAGGTCCTGGCTCCTCCCTGCTCCTGCGGGTGAATGTCCATCCACCCCTGCCTCCATTTGAGCTGCAACCCTGAGAGCTTTTTGCTTAGTATCTGGAGCACAGGCAGGAAGGTTGTGCTACTTTATCTCCCTTTGAGTTTATAAAGCAACAGCAAAGAGAAATCCTTTTCTGATTCACGCTTTAGCGGTTTAGCCAGTAGTTTGGGAGCCCTGGAGGGTTATGGAAAATAGGGACATACCATGTCACAAGGACTAATCCCACAGGACTTGCAGGTAGTGTTTGGAAATGATGTGCCCTTGTGTGGGTGCCCAGGGCTGGGGTGGAGCTGACTGCACCACTGAGCGGGAAAGGCATCCTTGCCCTGTGCATGGCTAGGAAACAGCCTTCTGAGCCTGCCGTGCTGGGAAGCGCCTGTCACAGCGCCCCACCCATGGCAGGTGCTTGGTATATTTTTTCTTTTTTATGTGTCAAAGATATTATTTAACTTAATGTTAGGACCCCTGTAAGATGTCACAACAGGCTCAGAGGAGGATCCAAAGAACAGGCACATGCATAAGCCACTAGGGCTGCTGAAATGAACTTAGCGATGAAAAACTGCCCATACTCGTAGGATGATAATGAGTTGTAGCTCCACCAGAAAAAATACAATTGCATTTCAGTTCCCTACAACATACAGGGCTGTCACATAGGCCAAAGGCATGAAACATGCAGCCCTTGGAGAACCTGATGACCTGGAGGGCGGCCCCAGGCAGGTGCCTCGTGTCTGTGTCCCATTGCAGAGGCTCTCACAAGTTTTCCTGAGGAGGAGGTCCCAGGTCCCAGGGGACGCAGAGTGGGCAGGGGAACAGGCCAAGGAGCAGGGTTGAATGCTCATCACAGACACAGGCCTCTCCCTCTGTGTGCTTGGCCTGCACCTTCCCAACCTCCATGGACTTCAGGCTTTTGTGGGGAGAGAAGGTGAGCTCCAGGTGGCTGTAGCATCCAGAGTTCACTCTGGCTCCTCTCCCTTCTGTTTAATTGTTACTAATCTAAATCAAGATGTGACATGCATCACGTTGAGAGAGGTACTCAGTGCTCAGTATGTTTTGGTAATGGCCTGGGCCTGTGTGCCTGGCATTCACACAGGGTGCCCCTGGGGTTTCTGGGGTGTGAAGCTGGGGGTTGGGAGTGATACCATCTTTCGTTACTCTTAACTCGCCTATTCCCATATTTTTTTAAAAACGTTTTTTCTCTTGCCCATGCTGAGTCCCCCAACCCCCAACCCCAGCTCACATTTTCTACCCTCTTCTTTGTGCCAAGAGTGTGCGCCCTGCGGAGGTCAGGCTGCTGATTTTGGAGAACATCCTTCTGAATCCAGCATACGATGTCTACCTGCTCGTGGGGACTGCCATTCGCTACAAGGTGCAGAAGATCAGGCAGGGGAAGATCGCAGGTGACTCAGTGGCTCAGTGATCATGGCAGATGCTTCCCCCTGCCCCTTTTTCATTGTGGTAAAATACACATTTACCATCTTAACCATTTTTAAGTATACAGTTCAGTGACATTAAGTACATTCACAATGATGTGCAGCCATCACCACTGTCCATCTCCAGAGGTTTTTCATCTTCCCAAGCTGAAACTCAGTCCCCATTCGACACTGACTTCTAATTTCCCCTTTCCCGGCCCTTGGCACCCACCGTTCCACTTTCTGTCTATGAAGCTCACTCCTCTAGACACTTCATATAAGTGTAATCATATGGTATTTGTCCTTCTGTGTCTGGCGGCTTTCACTTCGCGCAGTATTTCCAAGGTTTATCCACATTGTAACAGGTATCAGAGTACCCTTTGGCATTAAGGCTGAATCACATTCCATTGTATGGATAGACCATGTTTGTTTTACCCATTCGTCTATCAGCGGACTCTGGGGTTGCTTCCACTCTGGGGTTGCAAAGAGGGTTGCACCAGTGCTATGTCAGACCCTTGAGTGTCAGTATTTTCATTCCCCAAAATGACTCATTTGGAGAACTTTAAGCGAGGGAGGAAGCTAGTGCTTCAGTAAGCAGCATAAAGTAATGTTGCTTTATTGAGCAGTTGTGCTATTTTATTAGGGCATTTATCCTTAATGCACTGCCCCCATATTCTAAAAACTGGGCACATACTCTGCAAGAATTACAGCCCAGTTTGGCTGGGCTTCCCCTACTCAGAGGTGAGGAAATGGGCTGTGCATTCCCTAAAGGAGTCTCCCTTCTAGTCTGCATCCGACTCACCTGCAGGGCTTGCTAAAGCACAGATTGCTGGGCCCCAGCCCCAGCGTTAGAATCAGCAGGTCTAGGCCGGGGCCACCGTGTGAAGTTCCAGGTGATGGTCATGGTCCAGGGACCACACTTGGAGAACCTTTTGCTCTAGTGCAAATTATTGGGGACATCTTAGATCACACAAAAAACACCCCAGGACAGGAGGTAGGCAGGTTGGCTCCTTTTTACAAGTCCTACCTGAATACCCAGGAATTCTGAAATGTGTTTTAGCTAAAATTCCTCCGAGTGACTTGTGCGACTTGTGCAGGGCTCCCTGTGTGCTAGGCCCCGAGCTGGGATCCAGAGAGGAGGGGCAAAAAGGGGTGCTGTCTGCGGTTCCCTGTGTCCTCTTTCCTCGCTCTCCCTGGAGGGCTGGAACGTGGCCCCACCTGTAGGGCCAGTGAGTGGGTGATTGGGTAGGAACTCGTGAGAATTAGGGAGAGCAGCTGTGGACATAGGTGAGCTCTTGGGACTCAGAATCCCATCTCTGTTCCTCACTGGCTGCTACTCCTGATTCCCAGAGCCCCTAGCTCTAACAGGTGGCTGTTGGGAGTTCCTGTCTCTGGGGCTGTTGAGGGATGAGCTGGGGAACATGCTTATGAGACACCTAGTACGGTCCTGAGGCATCTCGATCCCTGGGCAGCAGTGGCCGTTTCTATAAGAAGTGTGGGTGGTGTCTGCTCACAGGCCGAGGAACTCACACGCGGGCGAGACAGGCTTTGTAAAACCTGCTATTTCCTGGGGAAAGTGTTCTCCGTCCTGGTTCAGGCTAGGCAGGTTTGTTTCTACAAAGCAGATGCAGGGTGACACAGAGCAGGAAGAGACTGAGGGTGGCAGAGACATAACAGAGTCTGTTGTTTGCAATTACAGACCTAGCTTTTGAGGCCCCGGGGAAGACCACTGACCAGAGAGAGCCTTTTTGGAAACCCCTTGAGGCTGGACAGAAGCAGTGAAAACACCCCTGCCACTTGTCCCCACGGGTGCAGAAACAAAGAGTGCACTTTCATGGTGATCAGAAATAGCCCAGTGTTAGTATTCTTTAAGCAGGTGACAATTTAACTCAGAGGCTATGGTTAACTTAAAAAAATATAGGTATGGCAGTCACAAAAGGAACCAGATTGCCTCTGAAAATTCATGGAGTGTCAACTTTGTTCACAGGCATGGAGAATAATTGTAAAACTTAAAAGCACTAAAAAAATGAAGCAAAAAAAAAAAAAAAAGTCAAGCAGCTGTACTGACAATAGGGCGCAGAGATTCAGAGGGGCATATTGGCTTTTAATGTTTTCTACCTTTGTTCTCTCCCTCCCTCTGCACTTTTGTTTGTTGGTTGGTTGGTTGGTGGCCAGAACTCTCCATGCCTTCCGACCAGTACGAGCTGCAGCTTCAGAATAGCATCCCGGGCCCAGAAGGAGACCCAGCCCAGCCTGTGGCTGTCCTGGCTGAGGACACGTCGATGGTCACTGCAGTGCAGCTTGGTCAGAGCAACCTCATCCTTGGCCACAAGAGTATCCTCTTCTTGGACCTGCATGTGTGTGTGTGTGTGTGTGTGTGTGTGTAGGCACATTGGGCCTGCCATTTTGAAGTCAAGTTGTTTTTCCTCCCTGAAAGCCAGGCAAGGCTAAAAATAGCCCTGTTTCCCCTCCATGGTCTGAAAATCAGAGTCGAAATAGCACTGCTGAGTGGAATTGCGCATGTCTGTGGGTGACTCCCTGGCGAGGCTCCCAGAGGTGGGAGGTAACAGCAGGAGCTGAGTGTCATTCCTCACCGCTGCAGACTTTTCTGGTACCTGCAGCCTCCTCAGAGGGGGCCTGGCGGAGGCTGTTTCCATGTGGCATATGAGTGGTTGATGTCCCAAACTTGTTGCTGTGTCCTGTGTGGTCTCCAATGGCTCTTGCAGAAATTGCCCTTTGCTGGTGGAGAAAACGCAGGGCAGCCTTTGATTCTGAAAACGCCTCTGCTCCACTTGGCTAAAGCCAGGGGGGTGCCATCTCTTCTTCTATCCCTGTGCTGTCTCAATGACAATCGGGCCATCTGAGCCACGCTGAAGCCTGCCTGCTGGCTTATTTGCAGTCTTTCTCCTTAACTAAGAATTCAGGTTTTCGCATGCAGGGTGCTTCTAGGTTACCCAACAGCACTATCTACGTGGTTGAACCCGGATACCTGGGTGAGTGTGGGCCTTCTGGGCCTTTGTGGATTCTGTGCATTTGTGACTACATGAGTTTAAAGAAGAAGGACAAGCAATAGTCCCACAGAAAATGCTTCACTCTGGTCAGCTCTGTTGCGTGCAAGGACTGGGGCCAGCAGCACTCAGCCTCCACTTGCCCGGGCCACTCCCGGCCCTCCCCTGGTCAGTGCAGATACAAGCAGAACGGAGCTAGACACGAGCAAGGCAGGTGGAAGGCTCGGCAGGGAGAGGAACTGGACAGGGCAGAGAACCCCAGGAGGGTTCGTCTCCTCCTGGTGTTTACATTAATTCCAGGGCTTTGCCCAGACCTGATTGTTGCTAGGTCAGGTCGGGCCCAGTGGTCAGCTCAGTTATAGAGGGGTCCTAAGGTGACGTGACAGCTGGCAGTTGCCTCGGCAGGGAGGTGGGGAGGCATTTGGCTGAGGGAGGAGGGGAGGAATCCGAGAGCTGATATTTAAGGCAGGCATTTTCTCAGAGGGAGCTGCTTTTGTGGGAAGGTGTCCTGGCAGAGGAAACAGCTTGGGCAGTGGTGTGGAGGTGAGAAAGCACAGGGCTTCGCGGGGGACATCCAGACAGTGCAGTGGGAAGAGGGCTGAGGCCTGGGAGGGCAGGGCTGGCTCATGGCAAGGGCGCTCTGCGCCAGAACGTTCTGTTCTGAACGTAGACCCACTGTGGATTCAGACTGTAGACCTACTGTGGTTCAGAGCTTAGATCTGTGGATTCAGAGCAGACTTACAGAGGACAACATTGAGTTTGAGTGAGCCCTTAGCAGCCAGAGCAGTATCCTGATATGTTCAAGGTCAGTGCCAGGGAAATGAGGTCAGTACTCAGGCAGCCAGTCCTCCTCCAGGGAGGAAGCCAGGTGACTAGTTGTGGGGCCCCTGTGCTGATGGAGCTTGGTCCCATCCTCTTCCTTAGCCACGCTGCCCTGGAGTCCTGAGTCCTCAGACTGCCACACTTATCTGTTGTAGGGTTCACAGTCCACCCTGGTGACAGATGGGTGCTCGAGACTGGCTGCCTGTACGAAATCACCATCGAAGTCTTTGACAAGTCTAGCAACAAGGTCTACCTGTCAGACGTGAGTGCTCACTCTGTCCCAGTGGGGCCACAATGTGGGGATGTCTTGTGAGGCAGCTGCTCTGAGAGCAGACGCCAAAGCAGCAGGGACCCCATGCAGCAGACCGAGGAGGGGCCGTCTGCTTCCTGGTGTGCTCCCAGGTCTGTGGGTCTGCACACTGCGCCCCCAGCAGACTCCTTGCAGGGTTGGGGGGAGAGGGCGCCATGGCAGCAGGGCTCAAGGCAGTGGGACAGGTGGTGGCTTCTGGCTGCTGCCTTCCTGTCCCTTCCCGTGGACCTGGGATCTCACAGCTGAGACTCCGTTCTCCTCCCGCTCTGCAGAGGATTGAGGAGCAGCTCCTGGCCTTCTCCCTGCTGGCCCCAGGAATACCTCTAACCCTCCCAGAAGTCACTGTGTGACTAAGGACAACCTCATTTAGCTTTCTGCTTCTGGAAATGGGTGTCAGACAAACGGGGAGAGTAGGAGAAATCTTGACCACTTTTCTGCCCATGTGAGAAATTGGCTGGATTGTCTGAAGGTTCCAGACCATGCTGGTGGCGTTGGAGGTTTTAGGAGGAGGCAGCAAGGTTCTCCTTTGGCTTCTTTGCAGAAATCACTGATTTCATCATGTCACGAAACAAAGGCTGGGATGTCACCATGTGTTTTTTTTAAGTTAGCTTCAAGCGCCTTGATGTGCTTTCTTTCATATTTGATAGTTTCTTATTGAGACCTGGGGGCCTAGGGCAGCTGACGGCAGGCTTGAAGCTCCACAGGGAGCTGAAGCAGGAGTGCAGGTCCCAGGCCATGTGGGGAGGGGGGTTGCCTAGGAGAGTCCCAGGCACTCTGCCCAGAGTGGGCAGAGCTCCATTCCAGGGCTTCATCTAGCTGCTGCCTGCTTTTGGAGGCCTCTGAGGCCCAGAGGGCCCCTTGGTCTGCCCTGGCTTCATTTTTAGGGTCCTATAGCTTCTTGCCTGAGTTGTGATTTTCTAGAGTCACCCAGAAACATCTCTCTCCCATCCTGCTTTACCTTCCAGAACATCCGAATCAAAGTGGTGCTTCCTCCTGAGTTCTTTGAGGTACTCTCGTCTTCCCAGAATGGGTCGTACCATCACGTCAGGACAGTGAAGAGGGGCCAGACAGCCATCGACGCCACTCTCACAGCTGTGGTGGACCAGGCAAGTTGGCCCAGCCCTTCCTCTGGCCCCTTGACCTATGAGGCCCGCCTCCCTGGGCATAATGTCGACCCCGGTGGGTCATGAGCCCTGGGAGTTGGGAGCTCCGAGCTCGGCCTGGCTGTGCCCCTCTCCTGGTTCCTGGAGAGGCCCTGCACTCTCCGGCTCAGGGCACAGGCTCCAGCTGCACAGGAGCCGCCTGGAGCCAAGGGGCTAGGGGCATTCCTGTCCTCATGATGGGCACAGCCCCTCTCTCACTCCTCTTCCCTGCCCCTGTGAAAGTAGCCTGTGTCTCCTAGGGCTGGGGGTGGAAACCCTTGTTGGAGGAGACAGTGTCGGGCCCAGGCGCCCAGCTGAGCCTCACCTAGGAACCACCAGCATTCCGTTGTCTGTTTGGGTTGCTCATTTCCCACAAAGTATTTTTTTTCCTTTGTGTTAAAAGGCCAATCAATCGGTTTTAGGTAGCAGCAGACTTTTATTGATTGGTAAATTGGAACGGATGGTCTCGTTTTTCTACCCTGCATAAAACACCCTGACCTATAAGAGGCAGGAGACTGTAGCAGAAAGAAACGGTCTGAGCACCAGTGACTCTTGTCAAAGTTGGCCACCTCAGCTCTGGGGGTTTGGGTGAATTTCCTATAGCTCTCCCAGTCTCAGTTTCCCCATCTGTAAAGTGGACAACCATGGTTGGACAACTATGTCCAACCTGCCAGGGGTGCCCCAAGGAATTTGGTCAAGCAGCACTTATGGGAGTGACTGTCCCAGAGCCCTGGAAAACCATCCCCATGGAGATCAAGGAGGCTGCAGGGTGTCTGGCATTTTCCTTTCTACTCTCCCACAAGCACAAATCCAAGGAGGGTAGGGGCCCAGGTTACTGAGAAAAACTGCTGACAACCTGGTTGTCATGGTGATCTGTGGCCCTCTTACCCTTTGTAGGACGGAGGGGTCCACACGCTACGTGTGCCCGTGTGGAACCAGCAGGAGGTGGAAATTCACATTCCCATCACTCTCTATCCCAGCATCTTGACATTTCCATGGCAACCAAAGACAGGTGCCTATCAGTATACAATAAAGGTATGTGAGACCCCATCTCTGGGTGTATTTTTATCGGTGTTTCCATGGGATTGTGGCTTTTTGTCTATTTTATTGTAACATTACGCTCTAGTAGTTGGAGAGAATTTAAAATCGGAGTCTACAATTTCTGTATTTCCTGAGGTTTCCATTATAGCAATGTATTGGTTTCGAACTCCTGACCTTAAGCGATCTGCCCACCTCGGCCTCCCAGAGTGCTAGGATTACAGGCGGGAGCCACTGCACCCGGCCTGTATTTTGGTAATGAGGGAAAAAAACAACAAAAACCAATAGTTGAAAAATAGAGAAAAGAAAATACAATGAAGAAATCCTGGAATACAGATTTGAATTCCACTTAACATTTCTTTTTCTAAAAATTGTTTTTTGAGAGCAGTATATAGAAAAAATTCAAGGGGAAAATATCTCCAGCCCTGTCACATACCACATAACATTGCTCTGACCTTCATGTTCCCACGTGGTATTAGCCGGCAGGGACTCACCTCAGATGGGGCTGGAGTCCTGTGGTCATTGCAGGGCCGGCCAGTCCCGCTGTCCCCCTGGAGTAATGACAAGTGTCCTGTCTGGTCACTGGCATCTGCTCCCTGTCCTCTCAGGTGTGTTACGTTTCTGGCCTCTTGGGTTGTGGGGTGGTTTTCCCTGATCCAGGAAGCAGAGAGAAGGCTGTTGATGTCTCAGCAGGAGTGGGCAGGGGTGTGTGCTGGGGGAGCTTGTGTCTGGTCACCGAAGCAGCGTCCTGCAGGTGACTCCATGGCCAGGTGTTTTTCCCACTCCAGCCTGAGCTCTGGGAGGTGAGGCCACTGTCATGGGTGTATGTGTTTGTATATGTCAGTCGTCAGGTCCCCAGGATACGAGGCCCAGAAATGAGAGAGGGCGGAGAGAGTGAGGGCAGAGAGAGCCTCCACTCGACAGTGGCTGATGCCGTGTTTGTCCATGCAGGGAGCTTTTACCTTGTGTGTGTATGTGTGAGCATGTGTGCATACATATTTGAGCATGTGAGAATGTATGTGTGTGTTTAGGTACGAGCATACGTCTCTGATTGTGAATGTATGTGGGAGAAAGTGAGTGGGTGAGTGTATAGTTGTGTGAGTGGCTGGGTGAGTGGATCTGCTAGTGAATGTGGACTTGAGTGGACGCGTGTGTCAGTGGGTGAGTGTGTATGGAACTGGTGAGTGTGAGTGTGAATGGATGAGAGTGAGTGGGCAAATGTTTTTGTGATGGTAAATGTGTGTGTGTGAATGGGTGAACACGTGAATGTGAGCATTTATAGGTGACTGTGTGTGACTAGGTGAATTACATGAGTGTTGGCAAACGTGTGTGTGTGCAAATGGGTAAATGTGTGAGCACATATGAGTGTGAGTGGGTGAGTGTGTGTGGGTGTTAGGGGTATACATGTGTGAGTGAGCGTTTGTGTGTGTGACTAGGTGTGGGTGTGAGTGGTAAGCATACCAGTGTGAGTGTGGAGGCAAATGTGTTGAGTGTGAGCATGCACGAGTGTGAGTGGTTATGGGTCCATGAGCACTGAGTGGGTGTGAGTGTGAGGGTAAATGTGTTGAGTGTGAGTGTGTATGAGGGTGAGTGGGTGTGAGTGTGAGGGTAAATGTGTTGAGTGTGAGTGTGTATGAGGGTGAGTGGGTGTGAGCACTGAGTGAGTGAGTGTGAGGGAAAATGTGTTGAGTGTGTGTGTGTGTGTGCAGCACGCACTTGTCTCTGACCCACGCAGGGCCGGCAGGAGGCTGGCCCGTGATGCCGTGGCTCTTGGTTCTCCCTAGGCCCACGGCGGCAGCGGGAACTTCAGCTGGTCTTCGTCAAGCTACACGGTTGCCACGGTCACTGTCAAGGGCGTGATGACCACAGGCAGTGACACTGGCCTCAGCGTGATCCAGGCACACGACGTGCAGAACCCGCTCCACTTTGGCGAGATGAAGGTGAGAACTTGGGACCAGCACAGCCCTGGGAGCCCAGGCTTCTTCAGAAACACCCTGTAGCCTCCAGTCCTGTGCTTGGTGTGAGTGGCGGGCAAGGGGTGACCGTAGGTGGTCATGGCCACATCAGGAGGTGGACAGGACATTCCACATCTGGCAGTGATGGGACCAGAAGAGCCAGCATCCACAGAGCTGGATTTCGGTGTGGGGGAGATTAGAGAACACTGAAGACATGGGATCATCAAAGAGCCATTCTGGAAAATTCCCTAGGTCTGAAAGATGGGCATCTCGAATTGGAAGGGCCACTGAGCATTGGGTTGTAAATTCACAGTGAAAGGGAGCCGCAGGGCTTCCAGAGTCCAGACCACACCCCTCCCCTCACTCCGTTCAGGTGCAAAGCAGGTGTTCCCTGCACCTGGCTGTTGACCCCGAGCCATGTGGGACCATCTCAGTTGGCAACAGCAGCAGGCGGGGGTGGGGGTGGCTACCTCAGCTGAGCCTCTGCCAGCCACACTGTGGTCCCTGACCCCATGCCCCACCTGACCAGTGCTGTGACCTCAACCCTTTACTCCTTTCATTAGGGCAGTAAGGGAAGTCCCATAGTGTCCAGTCACAGCCTGATCTTGCAGTACTGGGGACGTGGGTAGACGGGCTAGTCCAGTCCTTTGAGATGCGTGTCTTTGACACGCACATCTGTCTAGAGTCAGGTCTCATTCCTACACAAACAGTATTGAATGGAGGCCCTTTAGATGAAGTATAATGCTCTGGTATTGGAATAAATTGGGATCCCATGTGCCCTTTCCCCCTTCTTCCTCCTCTCAGTAAACGCACCTCCTTTCCCCCAGCTGCTCAGCTGGAAGCCTGCGGATGGTTCCCGGGAGGCAGCATGTGTCCTGGGTAGGACATGGCGTCTGGGGCCAGACTGCCAAGTTCATGCTCCAGCTTACCACACTGCGGCTCGGGCCGGCTCCTGTCTCCTGGGGCCAGGCTCTTGCTCAGGCAGAGGAGGCTGGTGAGGAAGTGCCATGGGCTTAGATTCAGCAGTAAGAATGGCCTGGCATGTAGTAAGTGTGGTTGTGAGGGAGTATGAGCTGCTGTTCCCTCTCTCAGCCTCTCCAGCCCCTTGAATAAAGGGGCTCCAATTGGACCCATCCCCACCTCACCACCCTGGCTCACACCACCATCATCTCTACACCGGCGGCTGGCTGCTGATGGGTACACAGAGGCCAGAGTTATGGGAACCTCTGAAGTCTCCCAGCTCAGCCACAGTGACAACATGATGTCCTAACATGGCCACAGGCATTAACATGACCACGTGACCTGGCCCACTGCCTCTCGGACCTCAGCCCTTTCCACTGCCCCTGCTCACTGCACTTCAGCCACACTGCCCTTCTTTACGTTCCTCCAGTGTGCCGAGCTGGCATGTGCCTGAGGACCTTTGCATGGGCTGTCCCTTCACCTGGAGTGTTTCTTCCCCAGATCTTGGCCTGGCTGCCCTGGACATGGTGTGAGCTCAGGGCTCCTTCTCAGAGAGGCCTTCCCTGCCAGCTCGGGCCCCAGACAACCCCAGTACTCAGTACAGGCTTCTAATGGCCATATCCTCAGTACCTAGCATACAGCAGCTCTTGTAGATCTGAGCAATGAGCCCTGCCCTTCCTGTGGAGGCAGCTGAGCCCAAGCCATGCCCTTGTCCTCTAGGTGTGTGTGATTGAGCCCAGCAGTATGGAGTTCACCCCATGCCCGGTGGAGGCACGTGTGGGCCAGGCCCTGGAGCTGCCTCTGAGGATCAGCGGAGTCATGCCCGGCGGAGCTGGTGAGGTGGTCACCCTGAGTGACTGCTCCCACTTTGACTTGGCGGTGGAGGTGGAGAACCAGGGTGTGTTCCAGCCACTCCCAGGTAAACCAGCACTGCAGAGCAGGTGCCACACAGTGGGATTGGGGCCAGATTCTCAGCATGGACTGCCCAAGTTCCCAAAAAGAGGGCTTGAGGCAGCAGAGGGGCCTCAGCATGAGCAGTGGCATTTGTCCCCTTGTCCATTGTTGGCCCCAGCCTGGTCTGCATCTTGCATACTCTGACCATTGGCAAATCACCAGCCTGTCAGGGCCTCAGTTTCCCTATCTCTGAGCTGAGTGTCATCTAAGTAGAATTGCATGCCAAAATGCCGATTTCAGTGCCTAGAATGTAGTTGGTGCTCGCAATGCATTGTCCATAGGGGTTCTGAGAGTCATCACCCCTGTGACATGCAAGCCCACCCCTCCTGAACACTCCCATCTTTTCTCTTCAGCATCCCCCGTGGGGTTTCGGTGTTGACATCGGTGGTGACTGGGGCAACAACAGTTAGTTTATCAAGTGTCAATCCTGCCAGGCACAGGGTAAGCACTTCGCATGCCTGACCTCATTTAGACCTTCCAACCACTGTAGCAGAACCAGCTGTTGTTGAGTCATATGTCAGATGAAGAAACTGAGGCTGTGAAGCTGCCCAAGGTCACACATAGCCTGGGGCAGGATGGGGTGGAGATCTGGGTGTGTGCAACACAGACCACGAAGCATTAGTTACCTGTGACAGCCTCCCAGAAGAGTCGCCCAGGCAGGGCAGGGATTCCTCTCTGATTTGCAGATGAAGGAAACCACAGGACTGGTAAGCTATTGGGCAGGAGAGAGATTTGGACAGGGCACTGAGAGTAACAGGGACAGCATTTGGTGGACAGGGCTGCCTGTGCCAGGGCCCAGAGGTGGGTGAGTCTGTGGTGGACCTGGAATGGCAGGACCTGTTGAATCATGGAGGACCTCAAAGGGCTTGGATCTAGTGTGGGGAGGCACTGAAGGTTTTTGAGCAGGGGAGTGATGTGATCCTGTCAGAGTTAGGAAGCTGGATTGTAGAGGTGTCTATAGGATCGTCTATGGTGCCAGGTGGCTTTACACACGCCCCTGTAGCTGTGATCATATAGAGCTGTTGCGATTTGAAGCTGCACAGAAGGAGCCAGCATGTCTGAGAGGGCCCTGAGCAAACCCACTGCATCCAGGAGAAACCAAGCTTATGAGATCTGCAGCGTTGTCTGCGAGGTAACCATTTAGGGTGGAGGAAAAAGCATTGTATGGGGAGAGGCCAGCTGGCAGCAGGACATGAGCAGCCCTTCCACGTCATCCCCCACATCCGTGCTGCAGGGGAGTCTTCAGGGTGCAGCCCAGGCACAGGGTCAGGTCCTAGGGAGCAAAGTACGGGGCTGGAATGCCACAGGCCTTGTCTAAGCCACTTCCTCTACCTATTGGCTGTGTGATGTTGGGTGTGCTGCCCGACCTCTGAGCCTTGGGTTCCTCATCCACCAAATGGGGATAATAGCTACCTGCTTACTGTGGAGGTTACAAGTGAATATCCCCAGGACAGTGCAGGGGCATTTTTCGAAGATTTTGAGCTCTGAAGACAGCAGTCAGGATAGAAATCCCGCAGTGCCACGTTTTCCCAGGAAGTGCCTTCTGTCTCCCTGGCGTGGAGTACACGTGGCAGTGTGTGTGGGGGTGTGGGGCCCTGGTCGTGTGAAAAACACGTATCTTGGAAACCTGGACTCTAGTCAGGGCAGAGAGAGGCTCACCCCAGGGAGATTCATGGGACTGGAGGCCAGGCCAGGTTAGCAGATTGACTTGTCGCCGTGATGGCTGTCCTGGGCATCCTCACCTCAGAGGACATGCTTGGTTCCCATGTTAGGAAAGCTCTCCTTTTCTCTGCCTCCCTCCCTCTCCCAAGCTCACAGCACACATGACAGGGTTGTCCTTATGGCTCTGAGGAGGGGGCTGTACCAGGCTCCCTTGGTGGCCCTGGCCCAGGCCTGCTCTAGGCCTGCCCCCACCCCTGAAGTACCTTTTGTGGCAGGTTGGGGCTCCACGCTCTTCCTACTGGACTTGGATTTAGGTGTCCATTTCTTCCTTATCCTCATGGGTGGTGCCTTATTGACATCCCCTTGGTTGTGGGCACTACAGTGACGCTCCACAGAGCCTCCAACCCCCTTGGCACTTGGCCGGGCCCCCACCCAGGGTGGGGAGGACACCTCTGCTTTTGCTCCGTCTAGGCTCTTTCTTTCCTAACCAGCTTTGTTGATTGGTTTTCAGCTCCCTGTTTTCTGAGCACCTACTAAGTGCCATGCTCTGGGTGTTCCCTGGCAAGTGAGAGTGATAGAGAGACAGACGTAGTCTCTCTCTTTGTGGCGCTTCTGGGCTAGCAAGACAGGGTATCACAGGCCGTGCAGTGCCCATGATGAAGCATGCTGTGGGTGAGCAGGCCCAGGTGCTGTGAGCGCCAGCCCACTCCTAGGCATTACTTGGCAGTATGGTTCCCAGGAGAACTGTACAGAAGACATGTGGCTAAGCCAGTTTTGGGGTGTCCGGGAGGCTGTTTAGGGGAAGCATAAGCTCAGCTAAGACCCACCCACTACAGTGCAGGAGGGAGCTCTGGGGTGAAGGCAGTGTTCTCTGTCCCCTATGAGGTGTGGGACTCACGGGAGCATGTCTGTTTGTCAGAACTTGGGAAATGATCCTCTTAAGATGTGTGCATGTCCTGAGTGTAAAGCTGATATTAGGAAAAAATAACCATGAGTAAATATTGAATTGTAGATAATTGTCCATATGCTCTAGATTGAGAATGACGTGTGCTGATGTCTGCAACTTACTTTCACATGCATTAAGAAATAAGATGGATTGATGGATGAGTCGAAGAAGGGGAAGGCAGTAAGAGAAACAGCAAAGTGTCGTTTGTAGCATCTAGGTGACAGGTCAGTGAGTATTCACAGCATAATTGTTGCAACTTCACTGTACAACATTGTCCAAAAAAAGTGCTATGGAAAGAAAAAATAAGGCCACTACACACCCATCACCATGACTTTTCTTAGAAAGGTGAGCAATAGCAAGTGTGGCAGGGCCGTAGAGGAGCCGCTAGGAACAGTGTGAGTGATGTGACCAGTTTGGGAAAGACTCAGCAATAATGACTGGAGCCGAATGTGTGCAGGCCCCTCGGCCTAGCGGTCCCACTCCTAGGGCCACACCCAACAGAAATGACCGAGTGTGTCTCCCAAAAGGAAAGTGCACAGATGTCCTTAGTGACCCTGTGGATCACAGCCCCAGGAAGGAAGGGAGCCAACTGCTCAACCCCAGGAGTGTGGGGGCTCCCTGCCCACCTGCAGGACCAGCACAAAACTCTAAGAGGTATCCATTTAGGGCACTGAGTTTTTGCGGTGCCTTGTTGCTCAGCCACACACAGACATATTGTGTGTATATGCACACAACAGGAAAATGATGACAAAGACATGAAATGTGAGCAGCAATTGTGTGATGGGGACTGGGAGTGTTCCTTCGTGTCTCCCGGGGAGCAGGTGACACAGTGGTGAAGGACATGGACTCTGAAACCGGACCGTCAGGTCAAGTCCCGGCTCTGCTGTCCAGCAGCCGTGTCCCCTTAGGCAAATGACTGCAGCTCTCTGCGCTTTGGCTGCCACATCTCTAAAGTGGGAATAGCAACTGTGCCTCCCTGCTGGGATGGTTATGGGAATGGATATATGTAGAGAGCACTTGGTAAGGATTCACTCAGTACTGTGTCTCCTAAAGCTTTGCATGGCAAACCGGCATTGCTGTTATAAGCAGAAAGTTTACATGTGAGTATATTTTAAGAGGCCACCAGGAAAGATCTGAAAAGAAGCAATAACTGCTGAGGTGTTTGCCTAGGTGGGAGGAGGGAGTACTAGTGACAACTCATGTTTATTGAGAAAATACTCTGTACCAGGCACTGTTGGATCTACTGCTAGCACCATTTTGCAGATGAGAGGAAGGAGGCACAGAGAGGTGAGGGGACTGACCTAAGGACACACAGCCAGTGACGGACTGGCAGAGCCAGGGCTCCCAGGGCAACAGGAGGGCCGAGCGGGTTCTGGAGGGGATGGGGTGCCCCATCTAAGAACCTGCTCAGCCCACACTGTATTTGCAGCCAAGATAGTTACTATTCAGGACTGAGTGAAAGCATCTCTATTTGGGCATCCTTGGGAATATCTGAGGATCTGAGAGGAAACTTTGCTGTCGGGCTGGAGGTTCGACACCTCTGACAGGTTTCGCAAAGCCAACATTCCATGTGGTCCCTTCCAACATCAGTCCCTGGAGCCTGCTCAGGTAGTGACCCTCCAAGTCCCATCCCTAAATTGTCCCAGAGGAGGATTTTCTGCGGGGACTTTGCATGCAATAGTTCTCTGGAAGCCAAATCATCCAATAAATTCAGAAAGCTGATTGTGACCTTTTACTGTCCATAAACCTGAGTTTGGACTAATCAAGGACATGAGAGGCCACTAGTGCAGCCAGCCCAGGCCAGAAACACCCATAAGAGAGAAGGTCTCATCATCAGTGTCCAGTCCTCAGAGCTGAGCTGGGGAATGGTTACGTGTGCAGACCCAGAGCAAAATGCACCTGTAGGGGTTGTCCTGGCAACAAGGGGTTGGTCCAACCCCCAGTCCCCATCCACATTGCCACCTCTGCCCTGGGTGCCCCAGTCACTCTGGCCTCCTACTGCCCAGAATGCCTCCTGGCCATTTCCCGTGGTCACACTCAGGCCATGGAGGCTGCCAGACCCACCTCCTGCAGAAGCTGCCCCGGATCCCTGAGCGGCAGGTGGGCGTGGGCAGCAATGTGCATGTCCCTCCTTTGTGCCTGTGAACAGGTGGCTGTACTGTGGCTAGTTAGGTCCCTGTCGCATCTCCCCAGCTGGGCAGCGAGGTCCTCACAGTGTGGGGACATCTGTGTCTGCTCCATCTCTGGGAGCCCAGTGGAGCTCGGCCGGGGGCCGCGTGCAGGCTTCCCAGCAGGAAAGCCCACGTGCCAAGGCACACAGGTGTGATGGCGTCTGTGGCAAACTGGGCGATTCGGTG